TTGGTTATTACACTTTCTGTTTGAATTAGCTGATTCTCTCAATATGTTATACTTCTTCCATCATCTAATAATTGCAACAATTGGACTTTTTATGTTTGCCAATGCACAACTTTGACCTTTAGTATTTTTGTTCTTAAAAAATAATGAAGTTGTCTATCAATAATTTACATAATAAAATATAATTCATGTCTTACAACAACAAATCCTTAGTCCCAAAATGATTTAGGAATAATTCACGTGTGTTAGTTTTTAAAAAAATTGGTGTATGAATAGTGCAATAGTCCAATTTTTCTAATTGTCAAAGAACAGAGGAAGCATTAGTTATCTCCTGAACTTAATTGTAGTCCGTCATTGCACAATTAACTGTCTTCCTGCTAGCCTCCTAGCTCTGATTTTTTTTTTTTGCCCCAAACATTATGCTATTAGATTTCTATCCTAATATCTGGTTCTAATTTCACCTCGCTTTGATGTGTAAATAAGTTTTAGTGTCATCCATTTATTTCTTAAACCTTTTTTTTTTTGAACTTTTTTGATGCCTTTTTTTTTAATGGCTTGTTATAGATGCGCACTACGGTTTCAGAGCTGGAGATTGCTATTAGCGTGTTTGGACAGCTCGCTGTGGCTTTTAACCAGAATATTCACGGGATTGATGAAAAAAAGATTGAGACACATGTTAGCTACTGCAAGCACTTGTTGGAAGTTGCAAAAGTTTATAGAGAAGCTGCTGAACTCGAGGAGCAGCAGAGCCGGCAGAGGCTAGAGCTCGCTCGTCAGGTCACATTAGCTGAAGAAGCCCGTCGTAAGGCTGAAGAACAGCAGAGACTTCAGGTTAGATTTCGCACTTCACTGTTCATTAGAGACGAATTATGTCATGCTGTTTACAATACACTGATAGCTTCCGAAACAGATGGAAAAGAGAAAGCAAGAGGAAGAGCTGAAGCGAGTGAAGGAAATGGAACAGCGTTTTGAACGTGTCAAGGCAAGTATCATCAACTAAGAACTTAAAATAAAACATATACTGTTTATCTTGGTAGTTTCTGGCTTGTTGCTGCTGTTGGCTTGCCATGTTGTGGAAGTATAATGAGTGGCTTTGTCTTAATTTTCATTTTAATATTTCGTTGTAGCACTTGCAAGTTTTGTTTATTCACTCCAGATGGTCTTTAATCTCTTTTAAATGTATGCATTTGTATGTTTGCACACTTGCATTCCTTTTCTCATCTTAGTCGTCTTCTTTTAGTAATTCAAGACATGTAGTTCCCTAATTTGCCATTGAACTTGTTGGACTTCAACCTGCTTATATTTGATGTGTTATAATTTTGTACTGATACTATTCAATTCTGACTGGAATAATCTTGCACTCTTGCAATGTATGTAAAACAACTATCTCATTAGCTGGTTGTGGTAAATGATGAGTCCCAGTGATCATCATTCCAAAGCTTACCCTTAAGAAACTGCTTTCCAATGCTCTTAGAATAAAAATAAGGTTGCCACTGTATAATATGATAAATTAGGGTGTGCAGAAAGCATCCATTCAACTTGGGAATTGGAATGTCTTATTAATGTGTAGCAATCAAAGTTGTCACTGCTAAAACTCCTGTCTAGATTTAGTATTCTGTAGTTTAAGTGTTCAAATGTTCCATTTTTCTCACAATCAAGTATTTTAACATGATTTTGGCAATATGAGTTTAATTGAAGTATACCCATTATCCCTTCGCCATACTCAATTTAAGCTTTGGGCAATACCCTTTATAATTGAAGTATTTTAACATGATTTCAGCAAATACCCTTTCAGGGAATAAATTGCTATCTGCTGCTAGTTTCATTTCAGGAATTTGAGTAAATTTATGGGAACCCTTGTGCTCATATGTGAAGTTAATACTGCAGAGGGAATTTATCGTTTAATAAGCTGATATGATGGTATTGTTTATCCTTGTGTATTTTAAGTATCAATCTCTTTTGGGTGTATTGAGTAGTTATTGACAAAGGACGATAGGACATTTTCCATAATGATTTTATGTTACTTTATTCAATATCATATCATAGTATCATCTCTAGATGCATAACACTTGACAAAGAGTGATGTACACAGGTCATTTTCATCTTCATTGGATTTAGTCTGTTGGTATCTGAGATTCTGAGCTTAAATATTCACCATAATCCATTATTGAAGAATGATTAAAATTAGTCAGATAATGTTCACTCTAGTCATGTAATTTATTTTGGTAGGTCCTTATCTAGTGTTTCTTAGAGAAGCTATGTTCATAGGTGAGGATTGCTAATGAGCCTGTTCATTGTGTGCCGTGGGTGATTGGTAGATGAGTGTGGACTGAGTATTTTCTCTATCTTTTTTTGGATGTCTTTATAGACTTACAGACCGCCTTCCAGCTTTGATAATCAAAATTAGCTCGCCCTTTAGGGCTTTATTTAAATTTTAAAAAAAAGGGAAAACAAGATGGTCTTTTTATTAAGATGTTATAGCTTAGAAGTACTTTTGGGTCTTTTCACTGAAAACTTGTATATTTCAGGAGCAATTGAAAAGTAGCAGTCAACCATCCAAACGGAAGGAAAGAACTCAAAGTGAAGATGAGGAGGGTGAGCATAGTGAGAAGAAGAGGAGGAAAGGAGGAAAGAAGAAGAGGAAGGACAAGAGCGAGAAATCGCATTATGAGACAGAGGAAGTTGAAGCTGACAGAATGGAATTTCAAGAAGATATGGATGAACACCACAACGATTATGAGGAACCCACTAATCAGCTCAATACGGTTTATGATGATGAGGAAGATATGGCTCAAGATCCTCTTGCTGCAGTTGGGCTTGAAGATTCAGATGTAGAGGACGAAATGGTAAGCTCACTATTATATTTTGTGCACTTTCTTTCATTGATGTCGTGATGAGGCAACCTTGCATTGATTTTCTTTTATGTAGTAGTATTTCTTGTGTTAGTGTATCTTTTATTTCTCATACTACATAAGAATTTTCATTTCTTTGGGTGTGATGCTTATGGATGATCAATTTGATAGAATCCTGAAGATTACCTCCAACATCTCCAAACATAAATATGCTATTATAAAATTTTTTGCTCCTATGTGCACAAAAGTAGTGAGATTACTTTGTTTTGCACTTTTTCTGAAATGGCTCCATTCTCCACTTGATAAAGGGTGCACCTACAACTGCGAGTCGGCGGAGGCAGGCTTGGGCTGAATCCGACGAGGATGAACCTTTATATAGGCACGAAGATTCCAGTCCATTAGGAGAGAACACACAGCAGCATGAGACTGGTACCGTAAGAGATGATGAAAACGAAACAAATGTTGAGGCTGATGATGATATAGATTGATGTGAGCGCAAGCCTTTCAAAAGGTAACAAAAGTGTGCTAAGTTTTCCTAGGCTAGATGGAGATTTGGCCCTCGAGGCGAGTGCAACTATAGGCAGCAAGGGCTGAAGGTCCTGACCTGGAATTTAGTTGCACTTTGGTGTTTGGAAGTTGTTCAGTATCTGTTTTCCCAGAGGATGCACGTGCCCTTAGAATTTGTATAAAAGTTTAACTTAGGTTTTACTCATACGAGATTAGAGTTGTTTTTAGGTTATGATTCCCAATCTTTTTTTGTACATTAGTTTTTATTAAGGGCCTGCACTTTTTTTTTTCTTTTTTTTTTTTTCTGTATCAAGCTGCCCTAGTTTTTATATACTGTATTATTTTCCTACTGAATATTATAGGAATATACTAACTTTGGTAGCATTTATTGTTATTCTTGTGTATGTTCCCGAGCTCACATAATAATAGTAGACCTAATGACACCCTTAATTCATTTTATTTTTCTTTTGGACTTTAACTGAAGAATTTTGTCTGATTAAAAGTGCTTATGGTACCTTGTATTTATTTTGTACAGTGTCACTGTTCAGTTTCAATAGTTAATCACCTTAATACATATTGAGATTGATAAGACCCCAACCTTTATAGTTTTCAGGCCCAATATTTGCATGTTAAACACTTGAAAGTTAGAAGCGAGGGGAAAGGATAAGAGATCTTCCTATTTCTTCAACCCTAAGAATCTGCAGTTGGGGGGATTCAACCCTCTAAGCCTTGGACCTTGATGAATCCAAGCATTTAAATTTGAATTTGAACAAATGGTGTATATTCCCGAATCGTACGAGTAATAGTGTAATGCCATACTCCAAAATTAAGACCAGCTTAAAAAAAAAAAAATTAAAAAAAAAAAAAAATAGAGCCAAGAGATGTGATTTAATTGAAATGGAGTATTTGACTACCTTGGATTCCAATTAGATTAGCTTACCAAACTACAAAAATCACACCCTTTAAAATAAGGGTCATAAATGTAGCTATCAGCTATCTAGTTGCCTGTCTTATTCAGTTACTCCTCTATTAATAGTAATTGGATTCCACAAGTTAAATTTATTACACTATCTGTCTAAGATTTTAATGGCAGTTTAATTAAATCTTTTCTTAAGTTCTGAATAACATGAAGTTTTTATCACAAGGGAAAAGCCAAAACTGGCATATTTGTGGGACCCAACCTTAATATAATCAAACAAGTAGAAGTCTTAAAACAAACAACAAAAGCTCTGAAAACTGAAAAACCAACTTAAGAACCTGCCAAAAGGGGTCAAGCTGTCATCTGCCTTTCAAGTAGAGGGAAAGTAACACCTCCTAAAACCTAAAAATATCCTCAACAAGTTTATTTATTTAAGCGTGTAGAGTGTATAATACGGAGAATTAATCAAACTCGTACACATAAACAGTATCAATCGCGACAAATGACCAGAACACTCATTTCAGAGATATTTTAAGAATGCTAAATACTAAAATGAGTGTTATGTGCAGAGTCATTTCACAATTGACAGGCAAGAAAGGAATAGAATAGAATCAAGAAAAGGCCATAGGAAAAAAAACATGGGTTCTTTTCCTTTAGAAATTATGATGGTGTATACCAAAAGAAAAAAGAAAAATATTACAATTAAAATATCATAAAAGATAAAATTGGCACATAATTTGAGTCAGTCACACTTTTCAGAAAACTTCCAATGAAAATACATTGTCTTCTTCCACAGTCCAGTACCAAGTCCTATCACTCCACAACTTACAGAGATTGAAACAGAAATACGCAAAAGTTAAAAAAAAAAAAAAAAAAACCTAAAGTAAAATAAAATGAAAAAGTTAAAAAAAAATTAACAGCAGACTGACTGACCCCCACCCACCAAATTTCAGTAACAGCTCTCTTTTTCTGGTGACCTTTGATTCAGAGTCCCACTCACACCCAGCTCTTGAAATTCTCAACTCCATCTGCAAAAATAAATAGAAAAATAATTATTTACTAAAAAAAAGAAAGGACATAATATGACAAACAAATATTTGTCACATTAAAAGCCAACACCAAACAACCACTTCAAAAAAAGGCAAAAAAATTAGAAATAAAAGCATATTATATACTCCTATTATGAAAAAAATTAAGAATGTAAAACATAATTACCAATTATAATTAAGTTTCCCTAGAATTTGCGAGGAAAAAGTCATGATGATGAGAAGAAGAATTAGGGATGGAAATAGAAAGCTGTGTAGTTGATGAAGAATCAAGCCATGAATTATCTCTTCCTCCTCTTCCACCACCACCTTTTATAGGCCATTCATCAAAGAAATGATGGGTTGTTTTTTCATGAAAATTCTCTCTTTCATCTTCAACTTTCATTGATAAATCACAGTTAAAATCTATACCCCAAATGTAGCATTGCTTCTCTTGTTGCTGCTTCGCCGCGGCGGCAGCAGCAGCACTACCATTGTTAAGCTGCTGCAAGTAATTGGGATACCCACCACTTTGCTTTGAATGTTGTTGATGATGATCTAAGTTACCTAGTTGCCATGTTTCTTCCATTGATGATCCTGAAAATCCTCTCATACTTGATCCTGAACTTTCTGTGAAAAATGCATGTTCCCCCACTTCCTCTTTTAACCCTTGGTAATACCTTTCCCTGCATAACATAACACCCACATCCCATATAATGACAGTTAGCGATAATAAGTCTAATTAATAGTCCTAACAATGTAATTTAAACCCGTAACCTAACAATTAATAAAATATAAACTCGCGATGTGACAACTAAACCGAGATAGACTATCATTAAAAAAGAGGGAAAGAAAGACAAACCTGTTATAGTCCTTGTGATTGTTTTTGAAAGGAGGGTAAAGAGAATTACAAGAGGAATCAGGAGAAGGGAGAGAAAACAGAGAAGCAGAAGAAACAGAACAAGGGTTTTTACTGAGAAGTGATTGATTGGTCAAAGATGCTGCTGCTGATGCAACTGTCAGTGATGAATTTGTAGTTGAACAATTATTATTACTACTAATACTAATATTATTATTATTATTATTATGACTATTATTATTATTATTATTATTATTATTATTATTATTTGAAGAATTTGAATTTGCAGTAGTCAAAGGTGATGATTCCACAGTCTTTCTTGAACGGTTCTTGCCTCTATGCATGTGCCTTTCACAGTACTTTGAATCTGGGTATGCTTCTTTTGAACACCTCCATTTTTTACCATCTGTTCTTCTGCATCTTCCTGGTTCTGGGTCGATTTTTTTACCGTACCCCATTTGATACGGATTCCATCCCACTGCAAAAATATTGGTTACATTATGTCATGATCAAAATGAACGCCATTAAATTAAAAATACAAAATGTTCAATGCTTTCGAAATGAACAAAAAACTTACAAGGGGAAGGTTGGTAAGGGAATAGCTTGGATGAAATCGATGAATCGAGGCTGCGCTTAACGGTGAAGAGGAGATCAGAGGGAATAGGGATTCCAGCAGCCATGTATTTGTAGATTAGAGCTTGGTGTTCAAGTTCTTGCCATTGAGTTGCTGTAAATGGGAACTTTGTTCTTCCTCCTGATGCTGCTGTTGCAGTTGCAGTACTAGTACTCATTGTGATAAATTTAACACAGAAAGTAAGAAAACTTTGTGATTTTTTGAGCAAAAAAAACAGGGGAAATTGTAAGAACAGAGCAAGCAAAAACAGGGGAAGTGAAAAAAAGAAAAAAGATAGCTTCTTTTGAAGAGAGAGAGAGAAAGAAGAGTGGAAGTAGTGTGAATTGAAGTGAAGTGGGAATATTTAAGAGGAGGGGGAGGAAATATTTATTTTAAGAGACCACTTAGAGAGAGAAATTAGAGAGAGAAAGAAGGGAGTGTTTGGCAGAATCTTCTGTACATGGATAAAACTAATGGTTCAGATGAGCAAAGGTTCTGCTGCTATACTGCTGTTACTGTTACTGTAACCCACCTCATTTTTTATAAAAAAAAAATTAATTTTTTTTGGGTTTAGTTTCTCTCTCTAAGATTTGAGTTTATCTCTCTAGAAGAGAAGGGGGGTATGCTATGAAATGCAGAAGTCTACTGCAGAAATTATGACTGCAACTCTGAAGCAGCAGATGCTGCTGTAAGTGCTGTTGCTGTTAGGTTCAGGGATGCTGAAATGTTATGGCTAAAACTGCTGCATGTGTGCAGCTATTTGTCTCTGCCAATCTTTTGCAGAATCCCATAAAACAAAAACTAATGAAAGAAAGAAGAGAGGTGTTAGTAAAAGATTTGTTGGTTTATGTGCTCAGATTTAGACAGCTAATTCTTTGTTTTTACATCTTTCACTAACTGTTAATTTCTCTCTGTCTTATCTAGGAACATTTTTAATTTGGAAAGTTTAACCTTAGTAGAGACTAGAGACTAGCACAACTTCAATCTCGTGAATTTTGTACATAAACAATGCAGTATATGTATATTACTGTACTTCCTCAGTCTCATAAAATAGTTCCTATTGTGTTTTTTTACGGTATTTAAAAAATAGGAGGAGAATTGGAAAAAGTACATTAAAAGTGAAAAAAAGCTAGACAAAAGTATAAGCCAAGTGGATAATTTAAGGTGAAAAAGGTGAAAAGTACAATTATAGACAAAAGTTAGAGAGAGAAGGTGGAAAAAAATACAATGCAAGTGGATAAGTTAAGGGCAAAATTAGAAAGTTTAATAAATAAAGTTAAAAAAATGAGGGTATAGTGATCTTTCAATACTATTCAAAAATAAAAATAAGAACAATATTTTGGGTCTCCAAAATAGGAAAACAAGAAATATATTGTGGGACGGAGGGAGTATATAGGCATATAGCTAAGTGTTGTGCGTGACATAAACTAGAGAAAATATAAGTTGATCTTTTTGATAAACAAGTGAAATATATTAAGGGGTATATTTAACTTTATACTCATTAAGTTGGGGAATAAGATAGAGTAGTTTGGTTGACAAAATTATAAAAAGTTACATTTAAGAAATTCTACAGTACTTCCCATAAAAATGCTCAACCACATCAATTAGCAATTCTTAGGAATTAAGATCACATGAAAACTCATCTTCTTAAGCAATATTACTTTCTGTGTTCAACCAAATAAGTAATAAATCATCTTGTTAGAGCGACTTTAACAATTGCGAGTTTCATCCTTCGCAACTCGAAAACAGAAGTGTAGACAATCACCAACTACAATTTAGGCACTCATTCTTACATGGCAAAGGCCCTTATGCTCCACCACGATATAAAACGAGATTTTGCAACATTCGTATCATAATTGATAATGTTTTTGCAGTCAACTACGGAAGATTGCAAATATTATTGGAGATATCTTCATACACTTCAAAATTTTGCATTAGATATTTGTCACCTTTATTGTGATGCAAGCTAAGCAAGCAGCAAAGTTGATATTCTGCGCCAACTAGCAGTGGCAGACCCAGGAATTTCCGACTGGTGAGTCACAATCGATAACCAAATATGTAAAAAAAAAAAAATTTACCAAACAACCAAATAATAGTACTAAAAAATACATTCAAAAACCCAGAAACCATATATCCTCTGTTTTTGTACCCTCTTTCTCAGAAGCTAAATAACATTAAAGAACTAAATATTAAGTATATGCAACCAACTAAATATACGAAACTTAGGTCGAAACACTCGCAAAAACAACAACAATGTAAGAAATAGGGCAAAATGCATATGATCTTCAACAAGAGGACACAAAACAGAAGTGTTGTTGATAAGCATTAAGCAAGCAGGACTAGAATCGAAGGCAACAAGAGGACACAAAACAGCAGTATGAAGTAATAACTCGTTTGGTTGATAAGGGAAATAATTTTCCATAAGAAGTTGTATTTCACGGGAAATTATTTCCCAAATGAAATTTCTGGGAATTTTTTTATGGCCTGTTTGGATATGCGGATTTCATTTGAAATTCCCATTTGGGCCTGTTTGGATAATACAGTCATTAGGATTTGTATTTGGGTCAAATTCATGCAAATACAAGCCTTTACAAAATTAAGTCCACCTCAATTATATCAACATCACAACAAGAATCGAAGACCCTAACACAAACTGTGGCCATTGAAACTACACGAGGAATACACAAACTGTTAAGGATATTTGCTTCATTTTTTAAGAGCCAAAGAAAGAAAAGAAGCATGCTAATACTTGAAAAAAAAAACAAGATTATGTTTTGGAAAATGCAGAAAGTAGTGCATAATGAACGGTATTCAGATTGGCTCAATAGTTTGGAAAGCAATCTAAAAATTGAGAGACTGACACATTTTGAAATCAGGAGAAGTACTCTTGCTTTTGCAGATAAGCAAGTCTATTTAATATCATTTCATTTTAGGGTATATCAATTTTAGAGCATCACCTAGCACAGTATTCTAATAAAGTAATAATGATGTATATGAAAAGAAGGAAAAAGAAAACAATATATCAAATAAATCCACCTATCTTCTATCTCCTTCGTATCACCTAGCTCCCATGGTCATCCCTGAAATCTCTTCCTCTCAAACTTTCAAATTCCATCTCACATATCGTCTTTTCAAATTCTCACACTTACCCTAATTTTCTCTCTCCTACTCTGTTTCCCTTTCCCGACATTTTCTCTCTCTTCCATTGATGCAGCTCCAATTTCTCTCTTCCATTGAAGTAGCTCGTGAGCTTGTCCGATATTTTCTCTCTCCTCCATTTAAGCAACTTCTGAGCTTTATCTACTCCATGAAACCCCATTTCCCAGAAACCATTTTTTTTTTTTTAAATCTTAGATTTTTTTTTGGGCCCTGGTGAGTCACTTGACCCACCAGGCACAAGGCCAGGTCCGCCACTGCCAACTAGGAAAGTATTTCACGTAAAACACTCGACTATTGAACCACGGAGATGCATATGGGTTATATTGGCTTTCATTTTTGTTTTAACCTTTTTATTTTCCTGTGTTACGTGACCCAGCATGAACAAGGCTAGGTCCGCCACTGACTCCGTGTCAAACATATAAGTCTTTTCTCAAAATTCTAAGGAATTATCACATGGTTATTTGACTAGATTATAAGAATCAACAATAAAATTTATAAGTATTCTTTATAATACACTCCATTCATTTTGGAGTATAAAGTATTCGGTAAAATTTAGTGGGGTAGATAAGTACGTAAATAATCTAATAGTGATTCTTCATAGAGTAGAGGACGTAGGAAAGTTTTGCAATAAAGATGTAATAATTATAACAAGTAATTTGAAATCGAGTGAGTATGTGTATATTTGTCTTATAGTTGAAAACGTAATTCACAAAAAGCAAATGCATTGAAGCCTTTTCATCTATGTACAATTCTCTTAAATCATTTGTTACATTACTTTGTTATTGCACCAAAACTTCCTTAATAATTATGTGGGGATAGAAAAGAAAAATCATTCCAATGTACTGTCATATTCATAATATTACAAAAATTGGTCTCATAATCATAAAAATAAATGGAGTGATAAATGAATATTCACATCTTATTGCCAAATGCATCTTTCTATAAATTTACCTTGACTATCTTGTACTAGCTTTTTTCACATGAGTTTCACCTCCTGCTCTTTAAAGCTTTTTGGACCACTTTACTGAGTAATTTACTACTGTTATTAAATTAACTGATGAACATGAATTTGCAGAATAACATAAATTACAAGCTGCCTCAATTTCTCATTCTCTTTGCTTCAGCCCACCATCCTACTATCTATCCTTAGATCACAACTACCAGCTTATGATTAATTTTCTAGTAAGATTTCTGATGACAAAATCTATTGCCACGTGTTCTATAAATTTTTATTTATATTTATTTTAGACTCTCTTAGACGGTTAGGCCAATAAATTGAATTTTGTAAATTAATTAAGAAGATTATTTTTAAAAATTCAAAAATTATTTCAAAATTAATAAATCAATTTTTAAAATTAGATAAATAATAATTTATTTTAATTTTGATATTAAATAAAAGTCAAAACTAGCCAATAAAAAATTAGTATAGTGTTATTATTATTATTATTATATCTCAAAAACAGACAAAGTAATACAACCTACAAAAAATTAGTGGGAAGTCGAGATACAATTTGGGCCCCACTCCTCTAGGTATAGAAAATCCTATTTTAGTGAAGATATGAGCAGCAGCACGTGCCCCAATATCTTGCTTCGTCGAGAACTTCTGAATCCACTTCAGCAATGCAACAACCTCCTTTTCTAATTCCCCAAGTGAAGAAAAAAGAGAAGGGAATGAAACCATATCCAATCTTTTGACAACTAGCTTCATACTTAACTCGCTTTCGATGAGCCGCATCAGCCACAACCTGTCCAGGAACAAAAGTCAGATAGCCCAAAATGTGTAAGGAGAAGGCTCTATCAAATCAACACAAATATCGCGACCACGATCCCAGGAATAAACTAACACATCTGCAGGTGTGAGAGCCCCGTCGTTCTCTCCAGACAATCTAATGTCAACCTTCTATCTTGCTGAAATCCTAGAAAGATAGAAAACATCAACAAAGGTATCCCGAACTACATCATGCCAATGTTTAATACCCACAATACCAGCCCACAATATCGCGTGATCACCGAAAATATCCCCAGTAAAAACCCTTGAACAAGTAAAGCACGACGTCGAGACAGAAAATAATGGAACACCTAATCGGTAGCACAACACACATCGGTAAGTCTTTGCATTTATCGTCTGACCCAACCCCGAAATAGGGACCGCCCGAAGCCAAGCAGAGGTGTGATCTCCCTGCTGCGATTTCCACAAAGCTGATTGTCGAGGAGATAAAGAAAAGGTGGATTCTGCAGAAGCGGTAACCTTTGTGAAATATATATCTGCCAATTTCTTCATGAGTTTAGGGGCAGCAACCTCACTAGGATTACTCAAAATGCCAGACTACACCGTTTTATTAAACAGACTCAATGCATCTTCAAAGGGTCGACCAAGACCAACAATGCCAGCATGTCGTAGAAGCTTTGTCTGCAACCCAACAGACTGTAATCAAGAAGTAAGAAAAGCATAATGACGAACATCACCTGCGGAATAAGCACCAAGCCCTCCAAACGCAAATGGTAAGGTGCCAAGCCGCCACTGCTAATCGCCAAACCCAAGTCCCGATCGAAGCAGTAACAATACGCTCCATGGAAGATCGAAGAGCCCCATCGAATGTGCGCTGAGCTGCCTCAAATTTACTAGGAGGACAAGTACGCAAAGCAAAGTAGAGTTTAGAAACTCCGGTACATGCTCTAAGTAACAACAACTCACACTAAGTCAAAATTCAAAATAGGTCAAGTAAAAAAGAACGGAGGAAGTACAAGATAAATCA